CACTTATAACATAATTTTTACAGATTTGAAATTGAAGACAAGCCTCATACATTAGAATTCATAGACGCCTTACAGACGGTACTATTAAATGGTCGTCCATTTAAAGTTGAATTCGGAGGATTACCTAAGCCCATTGTTGTAAGAGATAAAAAACATTTCATAAGATTTTCTGTTTTACCACGAGGTATTCGTGCTGGATACGTTAAGATAGCAGGAATGAGAGGTGAAGAACCTATCGAAGCACCATCAACCCCACCTTTGTTAAATCAAAAATCTAAAGTTGATACTACACCTGCTCCTACTCAACCACCATCTTTAGAACAAGAATCTACGTCTCAAGATGGTTCTGATCTCAGATCTACACCTAAACCAGGTAAGTATTATTCTAATTCATTTATTTCAATCTATTATCTGTTTAGTTTCTTCAATGGAAAGCTATCTTTGTAGAACGAATCGTAAGTACTTCTATTATTTCATTCCTATTGTAGTAATGAATCGATCGATTACAGATTTACAATTGGACATTCTATCATCTGTTCTACCGTCTGCAATGGCACCATCATCTGGCTTGTCTTATCAAGCAGAGCCAATTGAAAATCCACCTACGTCAACTCCAGCTTTATCATTGCCATTAAATATGAACGAATTATTCCAACGTTTAGTTGAGACTGGTATTGTACCAAATATTACAGAGAAAAAGAAAACTGAAGAAGAAGAGAAAAAAGATCCAGAAATAATTCCAGTTTCATTTGATAAGCCAGAGACGCTTAAAGTGTATGTCTTAATATTATCTACATATCTTTTTATTTTTATTTTTATTTTAAGAAGCATAAACAAATATTTTTTGTATATGTGCATTTACAGAAAACAACCAGCCATAGCTGCTGCTTTGTATAGTGGAATGCAGTGCAGTTCGTGCGGTGCAAGGTTTGCACCTGAATTAGCTACACGATATAGTCATCATTTAGATTGGCATTTTAGACAAAACAGGCGTGAAAGAGATACTGCAAGGAAAGCACATTCACGACCTTGGTATTATGACGTTAGCGATTGGATACAATTTGAAGAGATTGAGGATCTTGAAGATAGAGGTATATATTCATTTTATACATATTTTAATTTAATTAATATGTGGCTTTGGCGTTAATTGAATGAATCTCATTCTTATTTTACTTTCAGCTCAAAGTTGGTTTGAAACGGAAAAACAAACAGCTGAAACAGAAGGTATTGCTACCGAAGATACCCCACAAGAAACGCAACAACCAAGTGTTCCTACTGGCTCCGATGAAGATTCTAGATGTCAAGTTTGTCATGATGCTTTTGAACAATTTTATAATGAAGAAAAGGAAGAATGGCATTTGAGGCCAGCAATTAGTTACGAAGGGAAAAACTTCCATCCACTATGTCTTGAAGATTTTAAGGTATGCTTCTCGTATTCTATTTCATTATTTTATATATTATAATTTTCAGTTTCACGTGTCTGAAGACAATGATTATATTGATGTAATTTTATTAATAAATTTTCTGTTTGTTGCATTCGTACGAAAATAGGAAAAAAGTCTTGTGGTATGTGCTTCTTAATTAATATTCATATGTTGCACTTCCTCAAGTGTTTAAACATTCGTAGAACTAGAATGAACAGTCTATAAGCCTGACCTTGTCATAGTACAAAGTATCTTTTCTTTCTTTTACGTTTCCCACTTCGTATTCACTTTATGCATATGTGAAGTGCAAAACACTTTTATTTGACAGAAAATGCACTGCCGAAATTATAGATGAAAGTATAGAACAGTATATATCCAAAACTTTTTTATTTCATTGAGTGAATAGTCTGTTTATGTTTCTTCGTAAGAATATAAAATTGTATTATTCAACGCAAACAGACTTTTTATTCAATCTAATATATTTCTTTTTAATAAACATGAGTTCTAAATTCTTTACTTTCGTCTATATCTTATCATTATATTTTATAATTGATTTAAATTATTACAATTTAACTTCTTTTTTAATCTTGAATTAAACTTGCAAATATGTGTATATAGGATGGTAATAAAGAGAGTCTGATATTTTACCATCCTGTATTTAATTTTTAACAGCAATAACAAAATATTATCTTTTAATTATTATATATGTCAGCGTTACATAGTATAATTCAGTTAAATCGTGGAAACCTTATGTTTTATCCAAAATAACTAAGCATTTTTAGGAAAGCATATAAAAAAAATATGACTACGTTTTGGAAAATAATAAGTAACGCTAACATATATATGGTATATAATATGTGGTATAAATCTAATGTATATAATAAATCCAGATACTTTTTAGATCAAAGGTAAAGCACTACATTTCTTATTACAGGATATTTGTATTGTATATAAATTTTGTGATTTTTATTTGGACATACCTAACTAATGGGTAATACTTAATAATTCATATAATCAACCATTTTTTCTTGTTTCATAACTTTAGAGAGCTTTGGAAAAAACTGCTTTGGCACTTGAGGAAACAATTGGTGAAATGGAAGATGAAAAGAAAAGTGGTATAGAAGAATCTATTATAGAAGAAGATACACAAATTCAAGATTCAGAAATAGAAAATGTTATTGTTAAACAATCGTCTATTGAACCAGAAGACACAGTGTTAACAGAAAAACAAAATACTTCTGAAATGGAAAATGCTGATGGTTTCATAGGTTTAGAAAATTTGGAAACTGAACAAAATGAGAAATTGGATGAGGAAATAATCGAAAGTACAGATAATGAAAACTTAAATACAGAAGCATCAGAACAAGTAGATATAAAGTTACAAACGGATGGAGAACAATCTCCAAGTGAAGTAACTGAAAATAATTTAATTGAAAATAATTTATTTGAAAATATTAAAATCAAAGAAGAACCATTAGATGAAATTGAAGAACAAATAGAAGAACAATTTGACTTTACTAATGTAGAGATTAAAGAAGAACCTACAGAGCTTGAACCAGGTAAATATTTATTTTTAAATACATTTATGCCAGCTAATTTATTTAAAAAATAATTTAAATGTATATAAATTGCATTTTTTTTAATTGTATTTCTAAAAGATGATATATCCTATCTAGAAATATTATTTTTCTTAATGAAATTTGTGTTTGTTATTATGTTGTGTTATGTTAATGAGAATGTTTTATTAGATCCAGAAGAAAGCATAATCAGCGAGCCTGCAACAGTAGACACAACATATGCGGCTGTGAAAAGTTCTATTGACGGAAATGTGGAATTAGATTCTACTCCAGCGACATTACCAGCAGCACCATCTCGTATAAAAATTAATATTACGAAACCCTTGAATACTGTCAAGGAACCTGAAGAACCAAAGGAAAAACAAATTGTTGAACCTCAAGTTGAAGAAAATACAGAGCCTTTAGTGCCTGCTTCAATTAAGCCCTCTTTACTAGGCAGAAAACTGTCTACCTTACCTCCTGTAGAAAAGGGGCAAGAACTCTCTGGACTCTGTTCTATAATGTAAATAGTACTTGTAAAATATTTTACGTGAATTTGTGGAAGCCCTTAAGGGTTTGTGTGAAGTATGCGTTTGCGAGGATGATTTATTCATAAAATCGTTTAATGTTAAGTTTCAGGTATTATATATCACCGTTTATGCGATTCGTACGACATGGTGTTAAATGTTTGTTGAAATATTTAGATATCGTGCGTACAATAATAGCTACATCTTAAAGTGTTTATTTATGATTTTTCTTTCTTTTATACTTCTCAGCTTTAACATTTCACGTACTACTACGTGTATTAAACATGATCATTTTTCATTTATTGTCGATTATAAAATGAAAAACATCACGTCGTAAGGGTTAAGAATACTTTGTAATGTATGCAAGTATGAATGTACATGTGAATATTCGCCGTTATATGTAGTATGAGAGGAAATGGTGTAGCATGTGTATGATGCAAGTGATAAAATGATTGAAATGAAGTAATAAGGTGAGGTAGCATTCCTATTAGTATTGAGTGCAATCACAATTCGTGACATGTTAAGAAAAAAAATGAAAAATGTCACGAAGATTTACGATGGTCTGCACAAGACTTATTGAGAATTTCGTACTGTTTGTACTTTGTAAGCTATAGAAATTCTGCATAGGTTAATTTATAAAATCACTACTYGTTTGAGAGGTGCTTTGTGGAACTATACACAAAAATCATTGCACCTAACAGGATTATTTATAAAGTATCGAATTTGCCCGAATCAATTGTTAAAAATGTACAAATTGTGTGATATGTGATTGTCTGTTGCATTGTACATACTTTCAACAAAGAAATGATCACTACGAGATTAGATAAGATACAAAAATTAGTACTAGAGTCATTATTTTGTTGTATAAAAGAAGACTTGTTGATTATTCGGGTTTTGACTTCCTCTTTCGTTACTTATTATCCTATAGTAACCTCTACAATATCCTTTATGATAATAACAGTTGCAGCGTAATTAATTAGTGATTTGGATTTTTAGCCATATCTAGGAGTACTTGGAGAAATAAACAAGAAAAATGCTAAAAAATTAGTCTAATTTAGTTGATGAAAATATCGCTATTCAATAAAGAATTTTTTTTAAATAAAGATGACTTGTTACGTTTTATCTCGTATTCCATCTCAAACTTTCTACCATATAGAAATAAATGCCTATTTTAAACTTGTTATGTAATCTTGCATATTATATAAAAGTTGAATACTATTAACAGGCATTATTAAAGAAGTCTCGAAAAAAAAAAAGAATATTACAATGAATTATGAGTGAACCTAAAATAAATCGAGATTTTGTATGTAATGATTGATAATTAAAAAAAAGATATGAAATTCTCATTTTTGTAATGCATCATTGAATGTTATCCGCTAATACAAATATTCGTTTGTATCTATCAAAACATTTTTACCATTTTCATTTTAATCCTGTATCTAAAATTATTTTCCATTTACATGGAAAAATGTTTTAAGTTATGTGAGAAGTAAATCAACACAATCCTGTAAAATTTTATTCATAAACGGCAATTATGTGGCCATCTGGGAAAAGGAATTGTATCCTTAATATTTGTTATTCCCAAGACACACTGCAGAAATCTTTCAAAACCCATCCCAAAACCCCCAGTGGGTACATTGCCATATTTACGTATTTCTAAATACCACGATAGATTATGATTAGAAGGTAATTTTAACTTCAATTTTTCATAATCATCTTCACGAATGCTTCCTCCAACTAATTCTCCAACAATTGGTACTAAAAGATCCAGTCCTGCAACCTTTGAATGAAATTTATAAACCCGAAGACAAATAATATGTCCATTACATTTCTTAATAATTAAACATTACTTACTGTATTAGTTACACTATCTTACCTTAGAAGAATCATTTAAGCATTCTTTCATATAAAAAGGTTTACCCTCTTTTGGCCAATTTATGACAAAAACAGGAACATTATTATTATGTTTTACTAAAAAGAGTTCATGTTCTTTAGATAGCATCTCTCCGTATTTGATAGGATGCTGTAATTGAACTACATGATCATTTAAAATATTTACTGCTTCGTCATAAGTCATATATCCAAATTTACAATTCAACCATTGTGGTTCAACTGCACCAATATAATGGAAATCAGAAGGATTTCGATCAAACATATCTTTAGTTACTGTTTTCATTAAAAGTTCAACTTCTTCCGTTATTTCTTCAATATTTGAAACGAAAGCTCTTTCAGCTTCTATCATATAAAATTCTGATAAATGCAATCTTGACTTCGAATTTTCAGCTCTAAATGTAGGTCCAAAAGTATATACCTTTGAAAGAGTTCTGAAAATACCTTAACGTGTATAGATTCCTAAGAATTGTTGAAATAATAATAATAATAATAATAATAATAATAATACATCATTTATAGTTTCAATCACCTTGCAAGTACTTCTAACTGTAATTGTCCAGATACAGTTAAATATGCTTTAGAATCGAAATAGATTTCGTCTAATGACATACCATCTTTCTTCATACTTTCAAGAACTTCTTTGGAGTCAGGTTTAACAGTAAAAATTTCACCCGCACCTTCACAATCATTAGAAGTTATTATAGGTGTGTGAATATGTATGAAATTTCTATTTCTAAAATAATTATTAATAGATGCAGTAGCTACATCACGCAATCGTAGTAAACTACTGAATTCTTGCGTTCTAGGTCTAAAGTGTAAATATTGTCTCAAGTATTCTGCATCATAAGGTTTTTTTGGTATTAATGGGTATCCTTGGCTAACATCACATGTACCAATAACGTATGCCTCATTAACTTGTAGTTCCAATCTACCATTAGGTGCTAAACCCAATACACCTTCCACGTCAATACTACTTCCATAAGTTAAATTATTTGGCTTAGAAGATTTAGGTATAACAACCTGGAGCATTTCATTGGTTGATCCATCATAAACATCACAGAAAATGTTATTCTTCATTTTCCTCAGTGCATGCACCCATCCCTGAATAAAAAATGCTACATTTCTTGTCTATTAAGAATATCTTTTTAAAAGTAATATAAACTAAAAAACATATATGAAATATAATATGAAGAAAAATTATTTAAATGTAGAGTGATCGATGAATCAAAAGTTCTTAATTAATAATAAATTTCATTAATAATTAAGGACATATAGCAATGGGGAAGCTAACCTGTATTTTTGTACTTTTTCCAACGGGTTTCTCCAAAATTAAATCTGAAATTCTTGAAAAATTACGCGCATCGTGTTTAAGAAGATATTTTTGTATAAACAATAATCGTGTTAGATTTCTAAAAAACATATTTAAAGAAAAATATCTCCTGAATTAGAATCACAATAAAAATCAAATTTCTTTCATTTACACATATGCAAGTACAAAATGGAGTCTTATGCAATTTAGTAACGATATCTGAACAGTAGATACTAGATGGAGCTGTAAAAAACACAATTATTTTGTGAATTTTCCATTAGTAATGAAATGTGACTAGGTAATTTTTAAAATTTATTTATAATAATGATGCAATAAAGATACAACAGAAGCATAATAAACAAATAACAAGAAAGTATAATTATTATATGAATAAAGCATACATTTTATTAATCATTAGCTGGTTCTTAACTGAACACCAACAGGTAGGAAGTAGTGGGGGAGGAAACGAAAAGGATCAAGCGAAACTAGCCGACTATAAACGAATAAATCCGAACAAAAGAAGCAATTTCAAGCACGTTCGGGTATATGAAGGTAACTTCATTCGAATAATATTCTCGGTGCAGTGCGTTGTGAATCAATAACGTCGCGTGGTGTTATTTTATTTTTTTCGACAAATACGCGAAAATTAGCATTCCCGCGTTGTCGTAGTGCCTGAAGCATATTATTAATACAAGAGTATATCTTAATCTTTGATTTTGTTTTGAAAACAATTTAATAAAAAATGGCGGTTACAAGTGACGCGCTACATAGTACGAGGATGGCGTCTTACGTATCGTCTAGCGTTTATCACGGTTATGTCCCTATTTTGTCAAAAGAAAATATGTTGAATCGTAAAAACGAGTGCAATAGTAACACCAGTGTACCTAGTACCACGAGTAACCATAATGGTTCAGCTATGGAAACGGATGAGGGATATGACTATTCTGCGGCGTCATGCCGTCTGAATAACGATTACGTGATTCCAGAGGCGTCGTCGAGGAGGCTGCACGAGGTTAACAATAAACAGCAATCCTACTGTTTATTTACAACGGATCAACAACAGGCGGTCCATGGCGCCGACGCGATGCGAAGTAGGAACCGGAAACGGTTCTATAACAATAGCGGTTCAACGATAGAAATTAAAAGATTCTGCCCAGGTAGGAAAGATACATATTGTTGGGAATCTCAAGCAACGAGTACGTTTCATAATTTAATAACTGCATAACTGCTTGCACGTTAAGTAATATGAGAAGGAACATGCATATATTGTTATATTCATCCGTTTAATTAAATCTAGCAGTGCTTGTTCCAATTTTTATTCGTATGTATTTCAAACGATTCTTGTTAGAGGTCTCTGTTAAATTCTATTTTTGCCTCAGCGCGGGAAATAATTTAAACAGTAGTAATTTGTTAGAAAATATTAATATTTATAATTCAATATATATATAATTAAAATATTTGACAAGTTTACTCATTATATGACGTTCAAATTTGTATCATATACATTTTTGCACATTTTTTATTATTTGCAATTAAAGTTACCTATTTATATATGTGTACATAAGTAAATGGGTGTCAAATACTATGCACAATCAAATTTTGAACGTCTACGATTTGTAAATGATTTTGGTGAAGAAAATATCAAATTAGCTTTCGTTTATGGGCTACTGTATTTACATCTGACTACAGATATTTGCAGTTGACCCCAACATTGAATTTATTTTAAAACCTGTTGCATCCTGTCTTCTACTTTACAGTGGGTAAATGGTATGTGGTGGAAAAAATAGATGCAAAATTTTTTCATAACCTTGTGAAACTATTAATATGTTTGGTCTTTTTGTACTGGTAAGGATACAATCTACTGATGCAATGGATGGCATAGGAGATTACTAATAAAATGAGTTGATAAGTTAGTGGGTTTCGTTTCAGAGGCAGCTGCGTTTGCTATGGTACAGGGAGTGCAAAGGACTATGGATTGACCACGATGCATTCTGAGTCAACATCATTATGCTTAAATTCCATCAACGATAAAACCTTGGATCATTCCTCGGTTATAACTGAAAGCTGCTGCGGGGCAGCAGGTAATCATAGTTTAATATATAATCCAGATTATAGACAATTATCATCAAGCAATGGTACTGAGTCTAGTGATAGCAGTGTGGAACTTGGGGAATTATTGTTCGAGACTCATGGATGCTCTATATATCATCATTACAGACAACAACAATTTGCAAAACATGATATTGAAACAGAATTTTAATTAGGTTCTTTATCATAAACTTTTTTCCATATCTTTCACATTACATTTGTATTGAAGACCATATTTCTTTGTTACATACTTATACCCCTCCCCAATGTGTCACTGCTCTGTTTGTGTGCAATAAAATAAAAATTTACTTTTTGATACATAAAAGTTTATTTTCTCTTTGTTAAATATATCCTGCAATATGCATTTTTGAATGCATATTAAACATGAAGTATTAAATATAAAGACAACTTTTATTGCTTAAATGTTATTAAAAAAAACATACTTCATTAATCAGACTGATCTGCAATTGCGTCAATATGTGTATGTAATTCACCATCCATGCATTTTTATCTTCATATGATAAATGAAATACATATACAGTATTTGATCTAATGTATATATAAGCTTTTATATATTATGCAGTTTTTGAAAATTCGTTAAACTTTGCAATAGTATAATGAAATATAATGAAATAAATACTTATGATATAGTTAATGATTAATAACATCGACGATGTCGTTTAGCAGTTAATTTGCCTCTGCCGTGTTCATCTTTTGTAGTTGTTTCATCTTCATCACTTTCTGCTAAGGCTGCTTCTAAAGTTCCTATAGCTGCTCCTAATGATAATGCTACATCATCTTGGATTTGTTCATTTTCTTCATTGTGATGTATCTAAAAGAAATATTTAAAATCAAATACTTCACATTAAAATATTTTTTTGTTAATATAATAACATACTTGTTGATTGACAGAAGATTCAGATCTTGATTGATCAGCTTCTGCTAAGTCTTCATTGCAACCTGGTTTAAGAGCAGATGCTGAACCAGTAGCATTGTCGTTATCAAGGCAACTCGATGTCTAAAGAAGTATAAATCAAATTATTGTTAATACAGAACATTTTTAAATATGTTTTGATAACTACTTACAGGCATTTCTAAGCGATCTAATAATGGAACTTGTGCTGTAGGAGATGACGAAGGGCCAGCATGAGTTGATACAACTAATCCATTTAATGAACATTGATTTTCCATATTAAAGCCGAGTATAGCACCCACATCCGAATCTTCGTCACTTGACCGACAACTGTCACTCCCTGTTTGATCAGCTGCTTCATTCTGTTTATATATGTTAATTACATTAATTTTGTATCAACTTTGACTAATTTGACTCTTTCCTGTCGTAACAGTTGCAGAAATAGGTATTCAATTTCATTTTGAATTATTACTTGGATTATCACTCTGAATCTTTAGTTCCGGAAATATCCCAGATTTCGATAAAAAAAAGTTAATTTTAAATAAAATAAAAATTTCATATATTAAAATATATGTATTTTACAATATGTGTATTTAAATTATGGAAATATAAAAATATATTCATACCTGAGCATTCTGTTGTGGTTGTGTATCTTGCAAAAAACGAAGACTTATCAATAAAAGAGGAAGTCTTTTGTCGTCGCTTATAGCTGTAATCTCTTTTAAAATCGTTAATAAATTGTCTGGTCTTTTTTTATTAGCTACAACAAGTGACCTAATGACTTCTCTCATTTCAGGACTGTTTAGAATAAATATCAAAATTTTATGAATTTATTTTAACATTTATAGTTATTCATTAATTAACTGTAGGTTACCTTAGATTATGTAAAAAATATTCATCGTTAGTCGCATGTGGTAGTCTAAATGAACTATGGGCTTCTTCTCCGGAATTGTCGACTTGTGATACTTCATTTGTTATTATATTACTTCTCATAGTAGTATTTTCTCTTTCTTGTTGCTGTAAATTAGATTGTTGTTGAAGGTTTAATGAATATTGTGTTTCTGCTATCGTTAATGATGGTAAAGGTAAATTATCTGCTCCCTGTTCACGATTTCGTTTATCCTTCCTAAAAAAATATTTTAAAATTATAAATTAATTCAAACGAGCATTATATATGTATATTATTATTACAATATATTAATATACCCAAGAGAAGGATGAACTACACCACTTGCAGTATTTGCAGAAGTAGTAGAATTTGAAATGGATGCTGTAGTAGAATCAGTTATTGTCTTCGCACTTCCAGAAAGTAAGTTTTGTCTTGAGTAACTGAAAAAGTTGAAAATTAAAAATGAGTATAATTATTTCTTTTTTCCCCAAAACATTTTTATAATTAAAACAATTTAGTAATTATGATAGATTTAGTTTTCATTAAAATTACAACACGCTTTGTATTAGTTTGATGGCCACTACCACAAAAATGTATTATGATTATAATTTTAATTACATGCACAGTATTAATGGTTAAAATTACATCCTATTTAATGAAAAATCCGTTGGCAATTTAATTACATACCCTTGGGTTACCTACCAACGTATTTTCTTTAACTAGAACACCACAGTGCTATGTAACTAAAGTAACAAATACTTGGTGCAAATAATTCCAACAATAAATAAAAGGGAGAGTAATAAGTAAAGAGTATAGATCGTGAAATTTATTATTCTATATGATAATACATTAGATATAAAGAAACACAAAAGACGATAATGCGCAACTTTGTCAGTGAGGTACTAATTTAATGATGTTGATCAATTTCTGTTAGAAATAACATTTACTTTGATGAATATTTTTTACAATGATTCAAATTTATTTAAAATTTTACTCAAACGTTAATGAGGTCTTAGTCATTTGTTATACCATATATATATAATCTCAATAAATATAGTTCTCTTTAAAAATTTGAATAATTTTTTTTTTATACTGTTATAACGTATATTTTTTCTCTGTTTGTGCTAAATTTATATATATAAGGCTTTGATTACCTTCGAAAGTTATCCCAGTAGTTGTTTGCTCTATTTCCCGGTGGTACTTGATTGTTCAATTGTTGTTGTTGATGCTGTTGAGAATTAGTACCTACTACTGAGTGAGAAAGTGCAGGAGAAGTATTAGGTAATGAAACAAGATTTGGTAAAGAAGAACTTGGGGGTAATGCTGCATCTAATGTATCAGCAAGATGATGCACACTGCGGCTTAGATTAGAATAGTCTTCCTGATTTTCAGAATTATTGCTTCTTTGTACTCCTTGCGATTGTCTTAATTGTAATTGTAGCTGAGTAATTGCTGTACGCATAGATTGTAATTCCCGTTGTTGTACCCACAAAAGTTGACAGCACTGTTGTATAGTTGTACCCATTACTTGCAGTTGTTGTACTTGAAGTTGTTGTACTTGAGAATTTAACACTAAATTATGATAGTGCTCTGCAGAACCTATATTAAAATCCAGTATGCAATTCAATATTTATTAATAAATATTTCATTCGATAAAAATCGTTACTAAAATCTCTCTGTTGTATTACCATGCTGTGACTGATTCATAGGTAATGGTGGATATCCCCAATAGTTTCCAGAAAACCCATTTTCCATCGTTGTTGCTTGAGGACCAATATCCATTAAATTGTCTAACATTTCATCTATACTTTGTTCATTAGAGCCACCTGTATGAATATTAAATGAAATCAAAACTAATATTAGATTTTTAAGATATTCCATACTTGCCTGTAGCAGCAGCAGCAGCAGCGGTTGCAGGCCACACGTTTGTAGGTGTACTTCTATGACTAATACGTGAACTAGAACTTCTGTGACTATTTAGATCTGAACCACCGACATTGCGATTGACGCTTGATACTTGACCTTGATCCTATATTTCGATATACACGATTACATTAATTAAAAAGGGTTGTTATGAACAACGTTAAAATAAAATGCGATATGCATATTATTTCAATTAACTTAATTATCAATATTCTTGTCCAAAAATATATTAATATATAAGTCTCAAAGGGAATTATAGATGGTTAATAAATCTAATGAACAATTTATTTTGAACTAGTTGTAC